AAAAGTTCATGATGCCTTTCACACATCCAGGTGGATATGAATCTGGCACTCAGGAGAAAGCTGCAAAATGGAGATTTAATGTGTGAATCACCAGCATGGAGTTTGCTTTTGAACCTATGAGTCAGGATGAGATTACTCAGGGAGTAAATTTAGATTAAAAATGGGAGTGATCTATAGACTGCATCCTGGGTAACTTCAAAATTTGCCACACAAACAAAAATTATGAAGAACCAGGAAAGTAGACTGAATGGGAGCAGCCAGAGAAGCAGAGGGAAAATCAAGTGTGTTGGTGTTCTGCAGCATCTGTGAAAGAACACTGCAAGTGATTCAGCTAGGGGTGGACACCTTATACGGAATAGCAGAGACTCCAGAGATGCTCATGCCTACGCTTCAAAAAGACATTGTATATCTAGGATAATATTATCCATTCTCTTCAATAAATACCCAGATACCTCAGTGGAACTTGTACCAAATTTGGTAGAACAAGGAGTAGAAAAAAATGTAGACAATTAGACGAAAAATTCTGTACAATTGTACAAGTTTCTTAGGGTAGAACTACACAGATTTTCCACAGAATCATAGCCCAAAAAGCAATATTATTATTCATCAGAGATGAGGAAGCCATTAATTACTATAAAAGAAGCACAGAAATGACACCTAAAGTGATGGAATTATCTCACTTTATGAAAATAATAAGGAAATATTGTCAGTTGAAATGGCATCTCTCTATCCCTTGCACAGTCCAACATTTCTATTACATTTAGAATGCCTCTTGCAATCCCTATAGTACACATTTCATTACAGCTATTTTAGAATACTTCGCGTTGAAGGCAAGAATGGGAAGTCTTACTCAAGTTCATAATGATTAGTTATCCAGCATAATTTAGGTATTTTAACTTTTTGCAGAATGCATAAATGAAGGGTAGGTTTTGCAGACACTGAGAAAAAAATACGCTGAATGAAGACGCAATGTGCTCTTCAAGAACAGTAGAAGAAAAATGGAAGGCCACATGATCCAATAATGGCAAGAGACAATGGTAGGATCTATCTAGAAAGTGAGCTGCATAACCTCAGAATAGCTACCGATATTTTCTTTCAGCTCTAAGCAGCTACCATATTTAACTGAAATGTTTTCATCATTATTATTTTTTCACCACACTAATTGGTGAATACATACCTGTTCCTTAGACAGAAGAAGTGCCCTGCCTTTCAAAATGGCAGTCTGAGATACAACAGAATCCTTATTTACGTTTCTCACAGTAAATGGAGTTCTTTGTTGTCCTTCAGCTGAAAGAATCAACATAATTTTCGAAAATGATTTGTTGCCCACTGTGTGCAAGGCATTGTTCCAGGGACGACCACAAGCAAAGCACAATATTTATCCTCGAATAACTCATAGTTTGTGGTTAAGAAGAACAAGTGATGCTTGAGAAATGCCCTATGGCAGATACATATAAAGAGTTTTGAGGTGTATAAGAGAAAGAAGGAATCAATCAGGTCTAAGAGGATCTGGAAAGTTTCATCCTTTTAAGTAGACATTGGAAATGGATTTTGAATGATTTATTTTCGAGGCAAGCAAGAGTCAGACATGTGTCCCAGTGATAAGGAAGAGTCTGACGAAAGGCATAGAGACATGTTGCTGGTATTGAAGAGACAGTGAATGAGCTGGAGGAACAGAGGGAGAAAATCAGAGATGGGAGGCAAAAAGAAGGAGAGTCATTTCTTTATTTAAAATGGAATGAAAGAAAATAAGTGTTTGATATTTGATGTGTATTTATTTTATGTAGAAGAAAATTTAAAATGAGATGAGAAAATTTGAAATGTTTAATATTTAATGTATGTTTCTTTTATGTATTACTGCTCAGCTAAAATGAGTAAGTAAAATGAAGAAGGATACCATGTTCTGTAGACACACCCAGACCAAGCCTTAGGGTTTTGTTTAAAGATTGAATTTAGCAGTTTTGAGATACCTAGACGTTCCAGGCCTTTAGAAAACCAGGATTACATCTACTTTTCACTATTATTCAGACTCAAATACTGAACCAATGTGAGCAAAAGAAGGAAGGATCATATGATGAACTGAAATATACAGGAGCAATGACAGAATAAATAATAAGAGGAAGTCTGAGCAGAAATGAAACTTAAAAAAAGAGAAACCCAAAAGATATATACTGAACATATGCTAAATTTATAATTACAGCTATTCAAAACATTTGAGGGTCAGTTATCAAGTTAAGGACATGCAAAAATAAGAGGTATATTTCACTATGATCTTTTAACATTCAACATTCAAAATTTTATCATTGTTAGTAACTTTTTTACACTTTCACTGATAAAAACAAAATATGAAATAATTTAAGAAAGAGATTCAAAGAGCAGTGACCTAAATATACACTATATTGAGTCTTATACTTCCTTTTTATACAGCTTCTGTGACTAATATCCATTTCTCTATCTTATCTGAAAAAACAAATCCTCCGTACATTGTGAGATTTTTATGAAAATGTATAATTTAATTCTTGGTTTATCATTGAAACTGAAATCATAATATAATAACAATAATAACAATAATATTGATAAATTGTGTTTCTTATCTACTACACATAGAAATCATCAACATTGATATTCCATTAACATAGAAACAAAAAAATGACTTACAGTGCTCAAATTAGAAGGCAATCATATTATTTGTTTTAATTTCTAGGTATATAGATATAAAAAATAAAGTAGACTATAATAAATAGTAAGACCAAAGCAAATAATACCAAATAAACGGAATAGGAAAAAATCTTGCTGTTTAAAATGTTAATTCTTCAAGAATCTTCAAAAGTCAAGGAGACTTAGGTTAAGTCAAATTTCACTTTGTTTTGATATTTTTACTATTAATTATTCAAGCACACAGCGTTTAAATTGATTTGTAGATTTAATAGTTTTACACAGAGTGAAATGTCAATGGATATTCTTTGTTTTCTTCCATATTTTTCATCAGGAAAAGAAGAGAATCCTGGAAGGAAATTTTCCTGGAAAGAAAAACAGCATTGTTCAGCAGCCAGAACAGTGACCATGAGATCAGTTCAATTCTTCTACTTAGAAGCCACCTGACCTTGGGCCTGTCACTCAGGTTTTCTGAGCTGCAGTTCCCTAACCACTCGTCTTGCTTTTTTATAGGAGCTTTAGTTTCTCTACTGATAAAATTGGTGTGCTTCATAATAATAACACCCATGTGAGAACCAAATTACATATGGAAATATACATAATTGTAAAATATTGTACCCAGTTTCTAGCACCTAGATGATATTTCATTAGTGAATAGAAAAAGAAAAGCTTCTCTTACTGATGCTCAGTAACATAAAACATTTAAAGAATAAACTCAAAATATTCACTATAAGTAGAAGTTTTTGAAGTGCTGTTATCCTTAAAATGTTTGAGTTTCTAAGTGAAAAGTCACATTAGGAATCAGCTTTGATCAAAACAAAAGAATTATTCTTATAGCAAGTAAACCATTTGCATGATAATAATCCATGGATCTGTAATAAAGGTTAAATTCTCCAGCCAGGCTTTTACCTCTCTCTACTGCTACACTGTCTACCTCTCCTCAGCTTCATTTTTGCATTTGTTTTGCAATTTAGATTGTAAGAGTGTGTTCGGTATGGTTTTATACCTGCAGAAGGCTCTGGCAGTTTAAACCCACATAGGTTTGGGAGTGTGATTACTTCCCCTCCCCCACCCCCCCCACCTAGAGCCCAGATTGAGATGAGAAGCTTCTTTGGCATCTTTCTCTGCTTCTGGGTAGATTTTTCTATCCCTCATTTTCAGTGAGAAAGTAAATGTTTGAGGGTCAGGAGAGGATGGAATTCATTCTAATTCTCCATGTTGGGTTCTCCCCAAAGCCTTGAATTCCTCTCCAGGACTTTTTCCTGTTAAGTCACCTTGTATCTTTTTGTCCAGAGGGATCAGACAAGAGTTGTGCTTGTTCAAAAACTGGTTTATCCCAGTTGCACTAGTTATTGTAATTATGCACTATAAATTAAGTACTTTGTAAGCTGATTAAATGTGACTGCAAAAAAAGTAAAAGTGATCCTTTTACTTGGAAAAGTTTTTCCTTTTGGAAATATGAAGGTAATGCACACATACTACAGGCATGTGGGTATGGATGAGACAGCTTGAAAAGATTAGGAGAAAATAATCATTAAAACCTTAAAAGATTTAGCACCCAGATTGTTTTACAATTGTATTTAAATCCAGACACCTTATTAAAGAAAATGAACCTGGCACTTACTGATGAGGCGAAAGAGGTATAGTTTGTGAAAGCAATAATACGTTAAACTCCAATCTGCAAATCATGTCAGAGGAAAAAGCCTTATTCTAAGTCAAAAGATTAGCTTTTCACTTCAAATAAAAATTTTAGATACATATAAATGATACTTTATGATTCTTCTCTGTGACCAATATTCTCATTTGTCCAATTGCTACTGAATCGAATCAAATCAGGTAGGATGGATTTTATTGTGCTATCCTAGGACAATATCCAACAGAAGCACTGAATAATACAAAATGCATGTTTAAATTATTTTACCTTACCCCCAACATACAGTTATAATCTATCTATATTACAATTACTACTAGTAAAATTACTAATTGTTTAGTCACCACACTAAGATCTCCCTGGAACCTCAGCCTATTGCATTACTTAATAGCAGCAAAATGCCCAGAAGAAATCTTTTCATTCCTGTCACCTGAGACCTTGCGGGAAAAAGTCTTTAGTCCACCATCTATGCACAAAGCCGGGGAACCTCTTTCTCAGCAAAGGATTAATACATTTTCTCTAAGCAGATAACTGTATCACTAGAAACATATTAAAGACCTGAAACAAAGTATTGCACGGACAAAGAACAAAGAAAGATACTGATTCTTAAAAGAAAAATTCAGTAAACATGTCAATATTTCTTGGAAGATTAGGGAAACTAATTTTCTACAAGGTTTTTTACTCATTATTTAGAAATAGAGGCAACACCTCGTTTATATCTCCTTATTTCATACAGAAGAGCTAACAATGGCAGAAATGGTAAATTCTCATTTTCTTCATACTGGTTTAACCTGTTTTTCTAGATTCCACCTTGGGCTTTCCTTGGGACCCAGCTATCAAGCCTGATCCAGCCAGTCTGAAACAAACAGCTGCATTTAGAACTCACTGTTGACACAACAATCTGAGTTATATGTTCGTTTTTAAAAGGGTAAGTGAACCCATTATTTCCCAGATTTCACAGGAGCCACTTCCTTGGAGCAGGCTACCATGACCAGCCAGACTCAGGGGATCCACCAGCTTTTTCAGGCGGAAAAACAGGCCAAGGACAAGCTAGAGGAAGCCAAGAGGAGTAAGTCTCACCTGTGAGGGGCTTGTCACGAAATAAACGAAGCAGTGGAATGCAGGGATAAGGACAGACTTTTGGATGAGGCAGCCCTTGTTTCAAACGTTGGTTTCTGTACTCCCTGTGAGACCTTTGCCCGTTCATTAAAATTACCCAGCCGTATATTCCCTATGTCTAGTGCAGGGATGAAGTTTCCTCCCTCAGTTCCTTTTGAGAGGCCATGAGCTCACGGACGTTAAGATTATAGAGATGTGGGCTTAAGCCTTAGCTATACAATGAATGAATGAATGCCTCAGTTTTCTTACCATTGTTAAGAGATAGCCAACTTCCAGATTGAATCTGCTTATTACTGAGTAAACTTGAGCAAATTATTTATTTTTTAAGCATCAGTTTTCATTTCCATAAAATTGGAATAATCATAGCTTCTTCTCATCCCTCTCAATAGCTTTTTAATATCTAATATTTTAAAATATTTACATTTTATTCTCATTTTCCACCTCTCTTTTTGTTTTGATTTTTATTAATTTATTTTTAAGAGATGGGAGTCTCAGTATGTTGCCCAGACTGGACTCCAGCTGCTAGATTTAAGAGAGACTGCTGTCCCAGCCTACCAAGAAGCTGGGACTACAGGCGCTTGCCACTGTACTCAGCTCTGTTTTTATTTGGTCATGCAGTCATGTACTTACACATAGAATGTCCTCACCGAACTCCAACCCCCTTCCTATTCTCTTTGATACAACAGCCAAATGAATAGGATATTAATATAATTCCCAATGTATGCAGGAACAGACCAGTGATTTGTTCAAGGACATATTTTATAAAATAGAAAAAAATTGTTCCAGGTACCATGCTCATTGCTTATCTTTATTCCTACAACCTTTACAGAAAATGCAAAAGTGATGCTTAGAGAAATTATACAACTTGTGTAATGTCACACAGAGGGTAAATGGAAGAGACAAGACTTAGATGAGCTGTAATTTCCAAGCCCAGATCTTAACCACTGCACTTCGTACAATTCATACAATTTGTATAATAAAAAAACTAACATGTCTCAGATTTACAACTGGAATTCAGGTTCCCAAAGCCAAGACATTTTTATTTCACTGTCCCCATTTCGTGTCACCTCATTATTCAATCCACAATAATTTGTAGCATCATTCGCTCTCTTTGTGATTGTCTGTCCTGCCTCTGCAATTAGATTCAGTCTGGTAAACAGGAGCCGTATCTTTAAAATGTGGCTTATGTAACTCTTTGGATGAATGTAGTGATGACATTGGAGTAGGTACTGAATTATTTCAATGTAATGAAGAAATAATATATTGCAATGCAAGAAAGGAAGTTAGTAAGAAAGCATGTACACTAAAGTTTTCAACCACAGGTAAATCATTTTCTTTTCTTAAGATAAATTGATTTCCTGAACACTCAGCAACATGGGCATCAACAACAAAAAAGAAAAGACTCCAGGTGGAGATGATAGAAGAGGAAAGGAAGAAAGACAGTGAAGGCAAAGTTTTCCTATTTCTCAATTTCTTTTTCTACAACCAAGTGTGGAAATGGTTGCAAGACGGTATGAATGCAGAGTACTTTTATAGAAAACAAAGCAGTTCTGGACCTGTGGTTGAAACAGCATAGAGAATTTTCCCTTTAAAAAATTTCAGGTTTTTTTTGTTTTGTTTTGTTTTGTTTTGACAGAATTTGGTTCTGTTCCCACTCTGGATTGCAGATGATCTGGATTCTTTGCAACCTCCATCTCCCGGACTCAAGCCATACCTCAGCCTCTAGAGTAGCTGGGACCACAGACGCACACCAGCACTTCTGGCCAATTTTTGTAGAGACGGGGGTTTCCCCATGTTGCCTGGCTGGTCCCAAACTCCTGAGCTCAAGAGATCCACTTGCTTCTGCCTCCCAGTTATTGGGATTACAGGCTCGAGCCACCACGTGGGCCTTTTAAAAAAAACTTCTTTAACAGTATTTAAAACATTCAGGGCGGGGCGCGGTGGCTCAAGCCTGTAATCCCAGCACTTTGGGAGGCCGAGGCAGGTGGATCACGCAGTCAAGAGATCCAGACCATCCTGGTCAACATGGTAAAACCCCGTCTCTACTAAAAATACGAAAAATCAGCTGGGCATGGTGGCGTGTGCCTGTAATCCCAGCTACTCAGGAGGCTGAGGCAGGAGAATTGCCTGAACCCAGGAGGCGGAGGTTGCGGTGAGCCGAGATCGCGCCATTGCACTCCAGCCTGGGTAACAAGAGCGAAACTCTGTCTCAAAAAAAAAAAAAAAAAAAAAAAAAATTCAGAACAAAAGACCAGATAATTTAAAGATGCGATAGTTATGTTGCCTTTGCGTCCTCATTATGGAGAATACAAAATGAAATACTGAGTCCATATTAATCAGTATTATTGTATGATTCAAATATTTTTACCAGCTATTTCTTCCTTTTTCAAGTCATTAGAGAATGAAAGTATTGCTAATCATGCAAGTTAGTTTGGGGTGAGAGCCAGTAGACAACAGGCTTCAAATTTCAGAATAAAGATAAAAGCCAAATTTCCTTTCCTTTCCTCTAGTGGATACGGTGTCCTTCTGCAATCTTGCCTCAGAATTCAGTATTGAAAAGTACATGTTGTCTTTTTTTTTTTTTTTTTTTTTTTTTTTGTGACAGAGTCTCGCTCTGTCACCCAGGCTTCAAGCAATTCTCCTGCCTCAGCCTCCGGAGTAGCTGGGATTACAGGAGCCTGCCACCATGCCTGGCTAGTTTTTTAAAAAATATTTTTAGTAGAGACAGGGGTTTCACTATGTTGGCCAGGCTGGTCTCGAACTCCCAACCTCGCGATCTGCCCACCTTGGCCTCCCCAAGTGCTGGGATTACAGGTGTGAGCCACCGCACCCAGTTCATATTGTTTTATTTATACACAAAAATATTCATTTCATTTGCTAGTAACGTAAAATACCTGCATACTTTTATCTTAGTGTACCATGTCTTTTTCATGAATATTCAGGTGGATATTCAGCCAGTAATAATAAATACCCAGGCTTTAAAGACATTCTAGAAAACATTTTGACTTTCAACAACTAACCTCTGCACTCAGTTTTACGGAGAATGTCAGCCTGTCCTCTTTGCCTCAGAAAGCACAGGTTTTGAGGTCAGTTTTAACTGGAAAGAAACTGTTTTCTTAAAGCTATCAGCAGGTGTTACAGTTTATAGTTACAACAGCTTACTCACATAAGCAGTCTATGGCAAAATAGAAATATTACCTTATATCTAGGTGTATTATAACTTCTCTAATGCTTCAGTAGTTTTTGTTTAATTGAAGAAGATTTTTTGGGTACCTACTAATTCCAAGCCATTTTGATGTTTACACTGATGAATCAGAACGAGCTCTTCCTTAAAGAACTTCCCAGTGAGATAAATGCACAAATGACTATTTTAAAAAGAAAAAGGACTCATGGTGACAGGAGAGGTAAAAACAGTTATTATTTTAGTAAACCCATATATTTTTGCTTTATTTTTTCATAAAAAGATTCACTTGAAATTCTGACACATTAAGGCAAAATGAGGACCAAGAAGTCGCGATAGTGAACACCATTGCAGACTATCTATGTCATTTCCTCGTTCTTAAGTCCATTATTTGAAAGACCCTCAAAAACTTAGGCATAGAGTGATAGAACAGGACCCTTGAATATATTATTTTTAAGAAAAAGAAAGAGAGGAGGAGGGAAGGGTGAGAAAGAGGAAAAGAGAAAGAAAACAGTAATTCACATGTTAATCATTTCAGGAAAATACAAGATTAATAAGGTTATTTATATATTATGCTGCAAAAATGTTAATATATTCCATTAAGGAAAACTGCCTCAGATCCTGGTGCAGTTGCTACATAATGCAGTATATGGTCTAAGTGTTTTACTTTCAGGAATACGGATAAGGGATTATGAACCTGAGATATCAGGAACTCTTCAGAAGGCCATGAGGTCCATAGAAATTGAATATGCAGGTCTCTATTCTCAAGACATCCACCAGCTACTGAGAGAAAGGAAAGCTGACAGGGACATAGGCAGGACTGTGGACAGGCTTCAGAATTCAGACTGGGAAGTGGTACAGTATAAAAGCATTGACTTACGTTGAAAACCTATCATTTTTAATGTCATTTAACATCTTCGAGTTTCAGACTTTTTCTGTAAATAAAAATAGAAGTTGTAATACACACACACGCATATATAAACAATAAAATAAAAATAAAAATAACTCGTGTGTATTCTGCTTTACTCTCTTGCACATATTTTTCTGATTTTTTTTTTTTTTTTTTTTTTTTTTTTTTTTTTTGAGACGCAGTTTCGCTCTTGTTACCCAGGCTGGAGTGCAATGGCACGATCTCGGCTCACCGCAACCTCCGCCTCCTGGATTCAGGCAATTCTCCTGCCTCAGCCTCCTGAGTAGCTGGGATTACAGGCATGTGCCACCATGCCCAGCTAATTTTTTGTATTTTTAGTATAGATGGGCTTTCACCATGTTGACCAGGATGGTCTCGATCTCTCGACCTCATGATCCACCCGCCTTGGCCTCCCAAAGTGCTGGGATTACAGGCTTGAGCCACCGCGCCCCGCCATATTTTTCTGATTCTTAAAACATCTAGGTTATATATTTTTGTATATTACTATAAGTAATAACAATAGAAGAATGAAACAGACTAGAATGATCTCATTCCATTTGTTTTTAAGCCTGCTGTAAGTTCTGGGTTTACCTTTCCTAAAACAAAGAGACCAGGACTGCTTCTGGGGTAAGATAACTAGAAATGTTCAAACATGTGTCTGTATTCACTGATTGCAGATTATATTTATTAGTTAAAGCTGTCACACACTTTTATGTGCAAAACTGCCTATTTTGGTTGAATTTAGATGAAATCACAGTAGTTTACACTACTTTAAATTATCTTACCTAGATTCAATGCTCTTTACTTAATAAATTGTTCGTTAATCAGAACATAAAAGTGGGTGTGCTGGTCCAAGACA